ATAGTTTCTCTCTCATATTTGGTCTTTTTCATTCCAAAATTAGTTATGTTATCATAAAATAGATGTATGATTGTTTACAACTAGTAGCGCAAATAGTAAATGTTATCCTACTCCTATTCAAACGGTTATAATCTCTCCATTATGTCAACGAACATTGTGGACCATTATAATTAGCTAAGTTAATAATTAAGGCAATATATGGGCCTAAATATTTTGCTAATTGGTGATTAACAAAACCCCACAAACCCTTTTTTTATGCAATTTCAATTCGAAGTGTTCTTCCTTGAAGCTGATAAACTTGGGGGACCAATATTTTCGCCTTCATATATTGTATGTTCTCGAGTATGGAATTGGATCCTCTCCGAGGCAAAGCCTCGAGATCCTCCTGACCCACTAACACGAGCCGTTGGATTTTGATCCAACAGCTACAATTATTATAACTTTAGAGGGACCATCCTGTTTGTAGCCGTTGAATTTTAATCCAACAGCCTGTGTTATTGGGTTAGGAGGATCCCGATGATTTGCCTCGGAGAGGATCCAATTCCCTCGAGTATATAGTCATTCATTCAATTCAACCTTTTTCTGTAGCTAAAGTCCAGCTCAGCAATTCGTACTATACAAATACACATTAATTTCAAGAAGTGATTATGGATTAGATCTGTCCCAAGCTTTGTCTGGCCATGATTACTCAAGTGTTTAAGAACTACGACCTTATGCTTTTGTCCTTGTGACGGTTGTACAGTAATCTGAACATTATCTTCACTAATATCAGCTTGGCCTGTTTATGTGTTTCTTGAGGCATAATTTAGACTAAATGCATGCACCAAGAATCTGCAGGTAATTGCAGTTACTAATTTACCATGCCTAAGGTAAATGAACATTGAGTGAAGAATACTAGCTACCTTCTCTTATCTCGTTTTCATCTGCCAATAGTTTAATGATCAAAATGGTCTACCTTCAAGGCCATCCTTCAAAGATCTTCTAAGTAAAATCCAACCAGAATGTAAAACTAAATAGAAGAACCCCATGTCTTGATTAAGTACTGAATATCACACTAGTATTAATCAAACATTTAATACATTTATAATGGATTTTCCATTGTTGATTAAGCAATGAATATCAAACTATTAATCAAACAACTAACAAATTTCAATTTAATTAATTTGATTGATTTTTTTCATGAATTATCTAAATGTAATAGTCTTGAGAATGAACGATTTCAATCTTCATGAAACATTAGACAACATACATATGAATGGAGAAGATAAAAGAGAAGATAGATAGTATTTCTTCGAAAATAAGAGTAATGCTAGGTTACATTTTCATATCAAATTTTTACAAATTATGTGGTGTGTCATAAAATTAGAATAAGCACGTTAATCAACACTTAAGTAATAATTCAGTCATCAACCACTACATCACATAGTTTACAAACTTTAATCTAAATAGTTGATTTCCTTAACAATATCCGAAAATAATTGAAATTACATGTGATGAACTATGATTTTTTTTTAAACCTTTCAATCATTTGATGGCGGAAGACAGAGATTCATTCCCTCGAATGGCGGGTCAAAAAAGATAAAACAAACCGACCACAATATTATATTATATAAACATAGAAGTAAACATAGTTAAAAACGGATTTGAACTCCATCCGGATTCAAATTGTGGGAATTTTAAAGATTCTTACGTCTTAGTCATTCATCATGCATCGTACGGTTAAAAATTATTTAACTTTTTTTTAGTTAAAATTAAACAAAAATAATATTTAATGAAAACTGACCGTACAATGTACGATAAATAGTTAAAATGTTGGAATTCCTAATATCCCTACAAAGTGGATTCGAAAAGAATCCTCTTCTGTTAAAAACCAGTTTCAATACGCAGAAATATTGATTAAACAAAAGTGAAAATACAAAAATGACAGCAAAGCCGACAGATTATTATTATTAAAACATATGATTTTATCAAGCAAAAAAGAACAAGAGAATAAGCATGCAGCAATAGTTGACTTCATAAGAACGGCTCATCTGGTTCATATATATGATTGAGTCATGGAGATTTCAAGCATCTTCTCCAAGGGTTTTAATATTCAATTTCCCAGCAGGATGTTCTGAATTCAGACATTGGTAAGGTCAAGGGAAGCTTCATAATACAAGAACAAGTTGACAGGATCACACAAAAAAAAAAAGGATCATTATTATAAATTTTAAAATGTGATTAATTAAGGAAATTATTTATTTATTTGTTTGGTAAACCATAAACATTCACCAGTTTTGGATGTTTGTATGCCATGCATGGACTCTGTAATGTAGAATAACAGAGTGTTCTCCCATCCATATCTATAGGAGATGATATATTATGTTTGAAACTGTTTTTCAAATGACTGCAAGCCCTTTTAGGAAAATGATTTTGGAACCAATTCATAGTAAAAATACAAGTAAATCTTAGAAAAGTACTCCAAATGTTTTATGCAAGAAGCACATAATTAGTGTTTATTTCAAAAAACACTTCAAGTGCTTTTAAAACCTAAAACCATTTTCACCAAAAATGTTTTTAGTCATTTTAAAATCACTTTCCTAATTTTTACATTATTTAGCTTATCTACTTACTATTATAAATAAGAACATTAATTTATTCATACCATATATTAAGGCCTTTGCTTATAACATTTGCCACTGCATATTTTGATAAACAGCCATTAGGACTCCATTAATGATAAAATAACGAGTTAGAAAAGTTTTGAGTATAATTGGCCTATTTAAAATCTTGCTCAGAAGAAAAAAAGTACCACCCGAACATTACATATTACCAAGAAGAGTACCATGATTAAATCCGATCGTTCCTAAAGCAAGTAACCGGCCCTCTATACCAATATCCAATAAAAATTGCGCAAAGTGTTGATCAGCACAGTTAGCTTGACAACAAAGATGGGTTCGCAACCACTAATTACCTCTTTGCGTCCTCAATCACTAATAACCCTTTTAGAGAGGTGTGTCTAAGACTTGGACGAAGAATAACTGAAACGATCTGGAGGGATTCACTCTCAAACCTCCATAACCTCAACCTGTAGAGCTGTGATGGCCCCTTTAAAACCGTTAACCATGGCAGCCAAATGCCCTTGTATATGGACTCGTTTGGAACTGCTTTTAAAATGACTGAAAGTAACAGATATGTGCTTCTCGCAATAAGCACTTCCAGTACTTTTCCAAGATCGACTTGGATTTTTACTAAGGATCATTTCCAAACTAGCCATATTTTGCTTCAATTCAATAATTAAACTTTATCATGATATCAATACTGTCCAATTAGTAGACGCTTCTGCCAACAAAAGTTTAGGGTCTTTTCCTTAATTATGTTTTTTCCATATAGACAAACTAATACAGAATGGTGAAAACACATTGTCTTTATTGAACTCATCTTGCAATTAATTTCAATAATTCATTTCATTTGTCCTCATTAAGCTTTCAAAATACATAATCAACCAAGAAAAGGATAGCTATGCTAATTGTCAAATTTATATTAAAGAAATTGTCCTTTAATTACTGATTACTTCTTTCATTTTTCATACCTTTAATTAGCATTTCATACAGTAATACAACTTGCTGCATGCAGCAAGAAGATCAAATGAAATGGGAAAAATATTAAGGCAGACCTTAGCCATGAGCAGCGTGCTATGCCATATGCACCCGAGTTCGAATCTTTCTCCACATAGTTTAGATAAATTTTTAGTGTGGAATAATATTGAAGACAAAATGGGGAAAAAGGAGGCATGACAGAGGAGTTGGCAGAATTTGAGTTATTTTTCTTTGAAATTTCTCAGCTATCTTGGAAATATTTCATTCTTTTGCAATCAATTATGAAACTTTTCAAAGTAATCATGATTTGGGAAAAGAGAAATGTTAAGGAGATTTTTTTAAAGTGAGATTCTTTATGAACTCTTTGTCATCTTACATTTTAACGCTAATTCTCGTGCCAACATTATAAAATATTATGCAAAAAATATGAAATGACAGAGAGTTCTACTTTTGAGAGAATCTCCTTGACATTTCTCAGAAAGAAAGATTACCCAAAAAGCAAATGGAAAATAAAGGGGGTTCCCCAATATAATACCAGAAGTATGTGACAGAAAAGTCAGTCAATAAAGGAGTGTATCAAAAGAGTATTCAGTATTTAAACATTTATATAATTAGAAAAAAATTAATCAACATAATTATTTCGATAAATATTAATTTAGTAATTCACTCGCAATTTAAACAATATATTTTATCGAGAACTTGATTAATTTTTTGATAAACGGTGTGATTACATAATATATCAGACTGTAAAAATTAGAACAATTTGAACTAACGTATACGTAAAGCTTATTTATCAATAATTTATTACAAAATCCTATATGAGCAAACATTACTAGTCCTAGGGATTTCTTTTCATCAGAAAATTTCCCCCTTCCAATACACATGGCTGCCTCAGGGTTTAGAATCTTAGGATAAGAGTTTGATGAAATAGGGTATTACTTAAAATTCAATACAAACTTCAAAGTTGTCATTTTTCATTTTCACAAATGTGTTTATGGGCTGATATTCATTTACATCACCTAAATCCTTAATTAGCACGCGTTTCTTTTTTTTTATTGAAAACGATAGCGGTCAAATATATCTGAACTTGGATGTAGAGTACATTTTTTTTACTCTCAAATTTTACAAGTAACATGCGCTTTCTGAAACTGAATTTTCTCCGGAAAATGGTTATATTTCTTGAGAAATGCTGAGGAAGTAGTGCTGCCAAATTCTGATACACTCTCAACATTGATGAGCATATCAAAGTCAAGTAATTGGAGCTCCATCTCCCCGAGCTTGTAGTACTCCTCCTATGATCCAATCCATTGACCAGGGTTTATCCGAACGTATCTGGACCGTCGGATAGCGTCGGACCCCCGTATGAAGGGTCAAGAGGCTGAGTTGAACCCTGCAGTGGAAAGTAGAGGAACCAAACTCAGGAAAATTAAATACTAATTCAGAAGAACAATCTCCAATCACCCTCAAGAATGTGACTTTTCTCTTTAAACCTCCTATTAATTTGATTCCCTACCAGGCTGCCATTTCATTTTCTTAACCCCCTTATCTCTCTTTCTCTCTCTCTCCCGTCAAATTCCACCACTTCCTCACTTCCTAGAAAGAATACATAGGAGAGGCTTCCTCTCTTCCTGTTGCTGACAATTCACATCAAAACAGCCACTTTTTTTTTTTTTTTTTTTTGTTGTAAAGTTTTGTGCCAGCATTGCAGGTGTAGTGTTGAACTCAACATGGGGAGGCACTCTTGTTGCTACAAGCAGAAGCTAAGGAAAGGCCTCTGGTCTCCTGAAGAGGATGAGAAGCTTCTCAACTACATCACCAAGCATGGCCATGGCTGCTGGAGCTCAGTCCCTAAATTAGCAGGTATTTCCCTAATTCTCCAATCAAATTGTTCATCACTTTCCAAAAGAGGGAGAGAAAAACACAGGACTAAAGTATTGTCGGTCGGCCATCTCAGAGAGTAGTTTGGAATATTGTCCTGTTCAGAAAGAGTTGTGTCTTTCTTCATGTGACATATAGTGTGATGTATTGGCAGGTCTGCAGAGGTGTGGGAAGAGCTGCAGGTTAAGGTGGATAAATTACCTGAGGCCTGATTTGAAGAGAGGACCATTCTCACCGCAAGAAGAGAATTTGATAGTAGAACTCCATGCAGTTCTTGGCAACAGGTAATATATATATTTATAGTTTTTATAACTTGGGCTTTTATTTCCTTAAAAATTAAGATTATAATTTCTTATGGGCATTAATTAATAAAAATCATATCTTTTTGCTGCTGCAATATCAGATGGTCTCAGATTGCAGCCCAGTTACCAGGAAGAACAGACAACGAGATTAAAAATCTATGGAATTCCTGCATAAAGAAGAAGCTGAGGCAAAGAGGCATTGACCCCAACACTCACAAACTACTCTCAGAAGTGCTTGATCAAAATATTGACACAGAAACTAACAACAATAATAATATTAAGCTCTCCCCAACTTACAAGAGTAATGAGAAGGCCTCTGAGGGATCCAATGAGCTGAGCTTGGTTGAGGCAGTGAGTTCAAAGCACCCATCTTCAGCGTCCGAAAACCGGTTCAACCCTGTTGAAGTTTCCTCCACCTCGAAACTCATCAGCAGCAATGGCGGCAGCAGCAAAAGTTTGACACATGAAGGCTCCATCAGTAGTTGCAGGCCTTGTGATTTTGTGGGGTACTTTTCTTTTCCTCATCACAATAACCAGAACAATTATGGGTCGTCGTCAGATATGCGGCTGCAGGCAGTAAATCAAAACACCACTTTCAGCTTCCTCAATCAAAATCCAGAGTTCCTGCAACCGTCCATGTCATCAAGCTCCGCCATTTTCACCGCCTCTCCTCCTACTCCTCCCACATTTGTGAAGCCTTCGATCAGCCTCCCATCTGATAACTCCTCCACCTGGGACTCCAATGCCAACAACAGCAACAGCAGCAGCGGCGGCTATTTCGACAACTCTGCAGCCTTTTCTTGGTGGCCTCCGGAGGCGCTAAAATCCAACGACCCAGAAGAGATCAAATGGTCTGAATATCTCCACAACACCTCATTTCTGATGGGAACCCACCAAGCCTCTCAGCCTGCTACTTACTCAGAAATGAAACCAGAATCCCAGTCACACATTTTATCAAACAGTTTGAGTGCAACATCTTGGCACCCCCAAAACCACCAACACCACCACCAGCACCAGCACCAGCAAGCTTTACAAGCTTCAGAGATGTACACAAAGGATCTTCAGAGACTTGCCGTAGCTTTTGGACAAACCCTGTAGAACCAAAAACAAAAATACAAAAAAATCAGGTGCAGGACAACCCACTCTAAGCTAACTTTTCAGAAAAGCATTTCAAACTTTTATCAGAAGAATTGTTAGTTTGTGACAGAGAAGGGTTTGCAAGTTGAAAGAGTTCTTCTGCGTCTTACAATTTACTGGTGTGTGTTATAGGGTTTTTTCTTCTTCTGATTTTTCATTTTTATTTTTATTTTTTGTAAATTTCCAATACCAAATTTTAATTTTTCAGCCTTTTTTTTCTTCTAATTACTGTTGTAGTAATATATTTGTGCATGAATTAATACGGTTTAAGAATTACAGAAATAAGGGCCTTTGTTACATTTTAATTCTCTAGCTTATGTATCATGTTGTTCTTGATTCAATTATTGTAGATTTAATTGCAAAATATCAAAATACATCATTGATTCGCCTGTGTACGCGAGTTGTGTGGCTGGTTCGTGTGGTTGGATTCGCCTGTGTATGCGAGTTGTGTGGCTGGTTCGTGTGGTTGGATTCGCTTCCTTCCCCTCTAGTGTATATTATTCTCGGAATTTCTCGAGAGAACAGAGTAACAAGGATGATTTATTCTCGATAATAAAATAAAACAAAATTATGGTGTTTTTATAAATTTTTAGAAAAATGTTCTAGTGACGTGGAATCACATGTGACTCTTGCCGCACCAAGATACGTCATATGGTAAAAAAACGATACACATATACATGTATATATATTTGTGTGTGTTTAAATATGATCAAGTTTTCATAAATACGAACTATTTAGAACTGATTTTAAAATGACTGTAAACGTTTTCTGAGAAAATGTTTCAAGTCCAAAAGCACTTAAACTTTCATTTTTACTAAGAATTGATTTTAAAAATATTTTTACTAAAAACGTTTTTAACCATTTTAAAAATACCTCCAAACGAGCAACAAGATCATCACTTTGTTTAGCCGTCACCTTTTTCAAATCTGGAGTCGAGAGTGATTGTGTGACTCCATCTGCAAGATATCCAAAAATATATTTGATTTCATGGGATCCATTTTTATTTTTAAATTTGATATACATCACTTTCTGTCTTGATCCTTTTCACGTTGAAAAAAAAAACAGAAAATTATATTTTTTTTAAAGTTCAAAAATTCTAGAGGCCATTTTTCCCAAATGAGTGTCTGTCACTGTCTCCTACAGATGGAGAAGTTTTCACCTTTAAGTTTTTAACAGTCTCTATGTCCCTTCCTCTCCTTTCCAAACTCATAACAAAACTTAGGTAAGGAAGGATGTCCAACAATTCGTCTTTTTGACACTTCTCACAAAAGTTTATAATTTTTGTATTACAAATATCAATGCGTTTTTATGTGGGTCATATTCAATATGAGAGTTGATCTAATCAGACAGCCTTATCAAAATTTTCCTGTCAAGGGTCTTTTTTTTGTTTTTTTTTTGTTGAAAGACTAAATGGTTGAAGACATGAAATGAAATTACGGTCTTTCTTTTATGCTGATCATACTCATAGCGAGAGTTGCTCTAATCAAACAGTCCTAATGAAGTTTCCCTCCTCTTCTAAGAGTCGATGTTTGAAAACATGAATTTCCGGTCTTTCTTTTACTACATCAATATCATATAGAAAACAACAAAAAGATAAGAAATAATTAGACGAATTAAAATGAAAAATAGATAAGAAGGGAGGCAGGATTCCAACACTATATTGATGAGAATCCAGCTGCTAGCTAGAACAAGTCAGAAAATAAGAAATGACTTGTAATACAATTAAAGCTATAAGTTCTTGTTTTCTTGGTGGCAATAGGCAAAAGACTACGTAGCGTAGAGAGGAAGGTGATGTTATGAGAAATCTATCTAATTTCGTATCATATATATTATAAGCTTTTTAGTCACAATAATATGTAAGATTGACATAATTTATTATTTTGGTCATTGAAGATGAAAATCGATAGAAGTAGTTTATGAGTTTGTCCACCGTAAATTATTTTGATTATTCTAAAAAAAATCTATTAATATTTTTGTTAAGTGGAGGAGTTAAATTGACAAAAAGTCCCTTAAAAATGTGGTCATGTGATTGTTCACGTAACAATTTAACGAAGATATTGACATATTTTCATGAAAAAATCAAAATGATTTAAGAGAACAAACTCAATAGTCACTTCTATTGATTTTTCTTATCAAAATCAAAAGAAAGGGTTATATCAATTTCAAAAATTATTTTAAATAAAAACCTGATATTATCTTCCAAAAACTAGCACGCCGTGTCCCAAGGGTGGGGCCTAAACCTTTTCCTACTTCTGTGAGGAATCGAGAATTGGGTCCCTGCAAGATGCTGAAACTTCATGAAAAAAGGAAAGACTTTACATGACATACTATAACGTGATATCTTGTGTTAATAAAATAAAAATATATGAACAAAATTTACGCATTTTATTTTATTGACATGTGTAGAAGAGTAGAATTGACCTTGCAGAGTCATAGAGAAAAATTCTGTGGGAGTATAATTTTCTTCCCTTCAAATCTTCTGCCGTCCTATCCCTACCTTCATTTTAGGCCGTTGAAAACATTTTGCATGTCAAGATTATGCCACGGAAGCATGAGATGAATTGCTTGCAAGCATCTTTACCTTACGCAGCAAGACATAGGGTAAATCTTTGCTATAGGAAATGAAAAGCAATAAAGTAAATATAGTACAATTATATGTGCATCAATATAACCTTTTTACATGGCTAAAACTAGGAGTAGGATTCTATGTGGGTTAACCTCATTTCTGTTATTGCTAACGTGGCATAATTGTGAGCGTGCAAAATGTTTTCAACGATTTAAAATAAAGTAGGGTATAGGAGGGTAGAGAGATTTAGAAGGAAGAAAATCATACTTCCTAAATCCAGCATGAAACCGAGATATATTTAATCTGTGATTTGTCTCTCTCCTCACGTGATGTGTTTGGTAAGGAGAGAGATAGATACATAAGGTTATAGACAACTAAAACGCAAAAAAAAAAGAAGATGTCAATTGTCATTGATATATTATTACGACTCTTTATCACACATTACGTGACATTTAATTATGTACAATCCATGACATAAAAAAATCTCTCATGTAGAAAATAAAAGAACTGACTCTGCCAGTCTGCCCTATGCAAACTCATAAAACGAAAATTCACAAGAGGCGTGGGTATATTTCAAGTGCAAAACGCCACGTCTTTCCTCCTCTCAAATACACGAAAGACTCCATTTTGTTTGTCCATGCACACAGACATCGTTGTATGGTTTCCCTCGTCGAATCTGCCAGAGTTTTCTTTATATCGTTTGCAGATTAATATATAAATATATATTAATATATATATATATATATATGTGCTTAAAGGTTTGATAATTTTTTGAACGATTTGTTAACTCAATACGAAACAACATGAAAATAAATAACAGGTTTCGGATTAATATGTTAACAAGTTGTGTCGTATCGGATCACTCATTAATGAGTCAGGTCATTATCAGGTCACCAGTTAAAAATCTGATAAGATATGTCAGATCTAGACATTAGGCATGACAATTTGTTGCATGACCTGTTAACCCGACACGAAATGACACGACCCGTTAATGAATCAGGTCGTTATTGAGTCACTTACCCATTAAGATAACAAGTTTCACATGACACGACCCATTAAAATAAAGAGTATGACACGAAAACAACACGAGCACACCAAACACAACCCGTTTGCCAGATTTATTTGTTTATATAATATATGGAGATGCATGTGAACCAAATTATTGGGTCTTCCCTGTTGGGGACCTACAATTTAAAGGGTGCTGGTGAAGAACAAAAAGCATTGCAATATTGGCCGGACTGAGAGAGGAGAAGATGGGATTACAGTAATGCAGTTGCCAATTTTGATTTCTTTGGTATTTTATAATCTTGTGCTTTAGAGAAACTCAAACGGTGTAATTTAATTAGTTGGAATCTTTACTTCTTTTTTTCTTCTAATACATTATATTAATATTTCTATCAACCGCTGAGATGAATGGAATCTGATTAAATGATTAACCTAATCATGATCGTCTATGTAAAATATTTCTATCAGGAAATATCAAGATGGTCAAGAATTTAGATAGAATGAGAAGTTTTTAGTGTGTTTGAAAAATATTACATTAATTGTACGCGATTGTATCTCCAACACACTAAAAAATCCGTGAGATAAAAGGAAATTAATTGTTCAATTTCCAGGTTGACAAAAACAGTTACCTTTCTAGATAGCCACGTTTAGACAGAGTATAATTAAAATAATGTTAATGTTTCTTGTATTAGAATCAATATTCGTAGAATGTTCTTTTTCACCTAAACACTTTGAGGTTCAGAGGAGATTTTAAAAAAATTGAGACTTTGGATGCGGTTTCTAACTATTCATGTTTTATGATTGAAATCTAGTTAGTTTTCAGTTTTTTTATCGAAGTCTTTAACATTAATATAATAATGTATTTTTATGTAGGTTATCATATTTTTTTTTAAATTAAAAAAAAAGAAATTTGTAGTTGTTTATATTAATGAGATTTAAAATAAAACCCATAATTGTTGGAATAAAAAATATTAAATGATAAATTATATTCTCCAATATATTGTATGAATAAATAAACTTGCATTCATCAAAATTAACCAAAAAAATTATTGTACATTTTCCAAAACCACAAAAAAAAAAAAAAAAAAAAATTAAGCTTGATAACATTATTAAATTTCTTCAATTAAACTTGACATGGTACATTCTCAAATCAACAAAATAGAATGTACCTATATAAATTTAAAAAATAGATTAAAAAAATTGAATGGATTTATATAAAAAAAAAGGGGTACACTTTTATTAAAATGATACATATTACATATAACAAATTTATATATATATTTAAGAATGGGTACATTTAAAATTTAAAAAAATTATATGAATGGGTACATTTTTTTTAATCAAAATATGAACATTTAAGATTTAAAAATTAAAGTCCTTTTATTAAAAAAAAAAAATTAATGGGTGCAAACTTATTATATTTATTTTTTTATTATAGAAATATTTTGAATTGAAAATTAATTAGGAGTTTAATAAGGATGTGAGTATTAAAATGCTAAATCAATTACTAATTTTTATTTTGAAATTATGTAACTAACATATAAATTTATTAACACATTAATACTAGGAACTTTGATCAAAATATAAAAACTAATAAAGTCTCAATCAATGAATATTAATAACTAGGGACCGGGTACTAATTTTTCCTTAAAAAAATTGATCGGAGTATTAGTTGTTCTTTGTTGGCAGAGACTCCATCAATGAATCTGCAGCACAGAAAAACCAGCAATCTCT